GCCCCTCGTTTTGAGCCCGATTCGAATACCGCAAGCTAAAATTAGCCACCCAATCAAATACTCTCATGAGCGAGAGAAAGTCAGTGCCTAGTTTGGGTCGGAGGGATGGGGTATGACGTCACTTTCGAAACGAAATCAAGTCGGTGGAATTGGTCCAGAGTATTTATTATAATTGAAAATCAGGTATGGGCGAAAATTCCCGGCCAATATTTCCTTCTTTGATTGGACCAAAATATATTGCTACAACACTGCAATGACATTTTCATGACACGGAGGTGCGCCTGCAGTTGACATATATACACAAGATCAGGTCCCCACCCTTCTTTAAAACCGGCCCAGAACCTGGATATTGCATTGTGGCGCTATACCAGACAAGATATTTAAATTTACTTTGATGCATGTCCTTCTCGTGACAAATTGATAAATGTTTGATGTTAATAGATTCGTAATTAGGTTTTATTATGGACGCTGTCTATGTTCTGGTACCACTCTGGGTGTTGCAAGTTTAACTTAAGGAGAAATGACGTTCACTGAAATACGAGGTCATCCTAGGATAGTGATGGGTGGACACTTGCAAATAATCTTTTTTAATAAACAGCATCATTTAAACCAAGCGATGCAAATCAAAGCATGGGCCTGAAATATTGCAGCTACATGGACCTGTCTGTAGATGCACAACCCTGGACAAGCAAACCAGTGATTGACAGCATGAGTACCGTAACAAGGCGTTGGGTGAGCTGAAAATGGGGTTAACGTCGTGGTTAAGATTTCATAACGACGTCTCTCTCTGTCTCTGTCTCAGAGACACATATAATGACACCGGTCCGACCAGTCCTTGCGTTATCCCATTAATGCCGAGCGCGAGGCTTGGACACAACACGTACCATAATTAACGTCTTTTGGTATGACGCGGCCGAGGATCAAACCACCGACATTCCACACTCCGGCAGACGCTGTAGACCTTGGGGTAGACGACGTTCGGGTACGACGTCACGCGTGTAGTCACAGTCGGCTCTGTGTGCCCCAGTCGTTTACGGCGACTTCAATGCAAGGATCCGTGTCGGCATACTGCCATCTGTACCAAAGCGGCCTTTACATAGTCTAGACCAGACAACCTAGCCTTTTTGTAGTCGCCTTTTCCGGCAATAATGACCTTCTGGAACCTGGAGACCGCCTCCGTGGTCTAGTGGTAGAGCGTCCGCCCGGAGAGCGGAAGGTCCGGGGTTCGATCCCCGACCGCGTCATACCAAAAGACATTAAAATATGGTACTTGTTTTTACCTTGCCTGGTACTCAGCATTAATGGGCTAAAACAAGGACTGGTCGGCTCAGAGTCAGTATACTGTGTCTGAGTGGGGTATTCATGTTAAACTGCGGCATGGTAGCTGGTACTATAAATCGGCATCAGTCCGGACTTGTACAAGCGGACACACACACACAGAACCTGGAGGATATTTTAATTTGTAATTTTATTTTTCCGGCCTATCACTCTTATTTATATGAACGCTTCCACTTGTACCATTGTCACCCTATCCATGATTCGTTGATCCGGCATTTGTTAATCCGGACGATTTCGACGTAAGTTGGTGTCTGGATTAACAAGTAACACACATTCGAGTGAATCATAACCTCTTCAGCTGCGATCTCTTACATGTAATCAAGTCACTGGTTTGTGACGATCATAAAGTGAACAAGTTAGCAAGTAGAAAGAATGACTTTGGATCATACACAGAATTTCTCCATCTCTTGCATGTGGTATCAAAGGTCACTTGAGTGCGATTCTTTGCCCCATTTCTTTAACGGTATCTAGGCAATGAAATGGCAGACTGAAAACCGGGGGATATATATACTCTTTTAGATTTCCATTCACGAAGATGGGGCCCTCATTCAGCATAATTGTTTTGGCTATGAACATTACTCAAAAGAACATTTCTATTACAAAGAAAAGGCTACACTCAGCGTGAATTGAATGGCATCACAAATATATGAGGAAATCAAGGAGGGACCGCTCTCCACATCCCAGCACGGACCTGTGTCTCCCTTCCTGACTGAACTGAGTTGAAAGACAACACGTTAATTACTGTATAATGTGGGACATGAACACGATGAGTTAAATATGCATACAAGCAACGGGTGGTCGACACGTGTCGCACGAACACAGTGTCACTGCCGCCAATGTTCACGTCAAAGCCACATGACCAATACATGAACACGCAGGTCCTACACATGGACATACTGTCCTTAACACGAGACATGTGGGTTATTAGGTGACCACTGGTCGTGAGATACGTGGTGATGATAGTCATGTGATGAGTTAAGGATTATTATGTCATCAACAGTCATGAGACATGAGTTACTATGTGACCAATAGACACAAGACATGAATTACTATGTGACCGACAGTCACAAGACATGAGTTACTATGTGACCAACAGTCACAAGACATGAGTTACTATGTGACCGACAGTCACAAGACATGAGTTACTATGTGACCAACAGTCACAAGACATGGGTTACTATGTGACCGACAGTCACAAGACATGAGTTACTATGTGACCAACAGTCAAAAGACATGAGTAACTATGTGACCAATAGCCACAAGACATGAGTTACTATGTGACCAACAGTCACAAGACATGAGTAACTATGTGACCTACAGTCACAAGACATGAGTAACTATGTGACCTACAGTCACAAGACATGAGTTACTATGTGACCAACAGTCACAAGACATGAGTTACTATGTGACCAACAGTCACAAGACATGAGTTACTATGTGACCAACAGTCACAAGACATGAGTTACTATGTGACCGACAGTCATGAAACATGAGTTACTATGTGACCAAAAGACACAAGACATGAATTACTATGTGACCGACAGTCACAAGACATGAGTAACTATGTGACCAATAGCCACAATACATGAGTTACTATGTGACCGACAGTCACAAGACATGAGTTACTATGTGACAAAAAGCCACGAGACATGAGTTACTATGTGACCAATAGTCACAAGACATGAGTTACTATGTGACCGACAGTCACAAGACATGAGTTACTATGTGACCAACAGTCACAAGACATGAGTTACTATGTGACCAAAAGTCACAAGACATGAGTTACTATGTGACCAACAGTCACAAGACATGAGTTACTACGTGACCGACAGTCACAAGACATGAGTTACTATGTGACCAATAGTCACAAGACATGAGTTACTATGTGACCAATAGTCACAAGACATGAGTTACTATGTGACCAATAGCCATAAATTACTATGTGATATTGGTTATCACGTGAATGTGACCGATAGTCATGAGACACGAGTTACTATGTGACCAGTAGTCACAAGACCTGTGTTACTATGTGATACTGGTTATCACCTGAATGTGACCGATAACCATGAGACACGAGTTACTATGTGACCAGTAGTCACAAGACATGTGTTACTATGTGATATTGGTTATCACGTGAATGTGACCGATAAGCATGAGACACGAGTTACTATGTGACCAGTAGTCACAAGACATGTGTTACTATGTGATACTGGTTATCACGTGAATGTGACCGATAATCATGAGACATGGGTAATTATGAGACGGATGGTCGTGTGATGTAGGTTATAACCGACAGTATGATATAAGGGATACACTCTTCCGCAAATCCACTCTCCAAATCATTACCAAACAATGTACGACTATGTGGCGCTTCTTACACGTTCTTCAATAACAACACTTCCTTATACACAGCCTATATAAATCACCTTCAAAAACAAATCGTGACAGAGACTTTTCAATAAATACATGCCAGTATACAAATACCGACTAAATTAGCGTATACTTAAGCGGCACACGAACAACAATATACCGTTATCATGACTTGTCTTCATTATTCCAGCTGCAATTCAAATGTAAACATGACAATTATTTAATCTGTTCATCTTTTAAATTCTTTCCAGCCAACACGCTCTCCTCAGCCCGCGGCCAAAAATCCGATGTCGCTCTTCAAATAGATATTGTCATTTTAACTACGATAAAAAATGAATTTGTGGTTTAAAACTCTGCAATATATCCAGCCCAGGGCTCTGATATCTCGACCATACGCCCCAAACATGGACGCATTAGCGTTAATTATTGCTTGCGGTCCGTCAGCTGCTGGCTGACACAGAAGGCTTCTTGCCTAATATCTGAAGCTCTCTTAAATTGATCAAATATACCTCAAGGTCGCCATGCTACTGATGAAATTGGCTTCGACATCAAGCGAAAACTATTTTGACATTTTGATATTATTACGAAATAGAACGACCAGGTCATGATTAAAGCCAATTTACGCCACCGTTTTTGCCAAATATATTGTAAACAAGGTTTCATCGTCTAAACGGTTTGCTAAGACGTTCCCAGTAATTACAACGACAATATTTGTAGTTTCAGCTATTACTCAGATAACGATGTACTGTTTGATGTAATAATCTCTAGGTATCAAAGCAACAGAATCTGGACCTAATTGCCCTCTCGCATGTCTTGGGGTGTTTAAATCTAGGAATTACATACACACAGAAGAGATCAATGCTAGGACTAAACTATCTTGCAAATGTACTTTCTTTGTAGAACGTGTTCTTATACATACATACGCATTCGCTCATATCAGTACGCCACACAATGTAATTATTTGCCGTTACACATCAACGCATGTCGTTCAAATCAACGGTTAAAATGAAACAGATTTGACATATCAAAGTATCTGTAAAAAGAACGACAATTCTCCAATACGCCAAACAGGGCTTCAGCAGCATCAAGTCTTTCAGTATTTTAACCCAACGTCGAACAACCGAAGGGTATAATGACAGGCGATTGTATTTCGGTTTACAAGTTAATCACCTCCTGGGCCGGACCAGGAGATTGCAGCCATCAGCAGCTTTAGAAAGGTCTGATAGATCAGTGCTCGGTTAAAACAGGGTTTTGTAAAAGACGCCATGCAGAAGACTCAAACACGAACTTACCTGGATAGTCCAACAAGTAAGGTACCGAAAACCATCCGTAGGAACAGAAATCTCCCGACTTTGATGCTAAGGTAGACTCGGAGTGGTATTGCCCTATGGTAATAGAACAAGCCAGTCTTCGGGATCGAATCGATAGCTTCCTAACAGTCGATCACTAGGCAGTGCAGAATGAGACGGCCGATAGTGTAACTCCCCTCCGCTAGGGGTACTGGCATTGATGGTGGCCACAGACGGGGAATGATGGCATGAGAAGACTTCGCAAATTGACCTTTGCTCTGCGGATGAATGCTGGTCCTGGGATAGGATGTGTTGGGGTGCTGTAAGGGGCGGGCTTGGGTCTTGTGGTGACGCTAGGGCAGGAGGAAGGGGAGAGGGGTGAAGTAGCGGCGGGAAGGGCGAGTGGGGAGGGGGAGGTGCGGTGTTTGGTGAGACGGTTGGTTTGTTACTGAGGGGGCGGTGGATGGGTGGGTTGGGAGGTCGACGTGGGGCTAGGGAATATGGAGGGCTGGTCCAATGGCCAGGGTGGGAGGTGGTGTTGGCTGCATGGGTGGGATGAACCTTCTTATATATACTGTTTTATTCTTTCAGTAGGTTGAGGTACTGTGTTTGTATTTATACACACTGAAGGGGTCGTCCAGTGGTATAAGGGTGTTTTTCGAGATGAGAGAGTGAGTGAGCTGCGTTTGGACGTCGGTTTGAACAGTAGTGTTAGCCTTATGTAAGTGCTCAATCACACATTCAGGATTTTTCCTGCCGTCCTTGACTGGACCAATGACGATTAAAAACTGTCAAAATTCTGATCAAGATCCTGTGATTCGTGGCGGGAATTTTGTAAAAACATTTATTTAATCCAGACAGCAATCAGATATTGCTCAGGAAGCGTCCCGATTCAGCCGTTTCCAGCCGAATTCGTCCCGATCCTCCCGTTCTCAATCCGAATCTGATCCGATGTGAATCTTTCACTTGGTAAAATACGACCGAATCTGTCCCGACAGCATCCCGATTCTCCCGAATGCGATCCGTCAGAGATCAGACAGTGACCGGACAGTGAACCGACCCTAACGGAAGACATCCGTTAGTCACGTGATAGTCCGGGCAATAAACAATTTCTCCAAATCATGCCCGTTCATTACGACAGCGTCGCGATCCACAGGACACCGTCCAGACAACACAGGACATTGTTACGATTTTGATCCGATACAGCAGAATCTGTCACGACATGGTCACGATTGTAATCCGATTAAACAAAATCGGCTGATTTCCCGAATGTTACGGGACGCTGCTACTGTCGGGAGTGCTTGCCCGACCTCTCTGGACCTTTCCCGTTCCGAAGGAATCTGTTACGAACGTATGCGACTGCGTCCAGACAATGATAGGACATTCCAGGTCATTGAGGATAGTAATCCGACTTCTTCACTTTTCGTGTCGTAGTTCTGTCTGATCTCAAACGGGAGCCATAATCGGCACTGTGTGAACGCCGCATAACGGAGTGGCACCAACATGTGGGGGTAAGATCCAAGGTGACGAAGCTCCTCACCACTTGCACGGGCATGGCTTTCACAAACTCAGAAACACGATCAGGGTGAACCACGAAATGGAACCCACAACCTTAGGTTTCTAGTACGTCTAGGTGACGCACCTCTGCATGGGAAACCATGAAAGATTGGTTTTTAAAAATGTTAAAGAATCAGTATCCCTCGTTCAGCCCCATTCTTTGTGTTTCATGCCATGGCGACTGGAATTTTATGAACTGACTTGAACGAAATTAACACGACATGATCTACCTGTTTAGTTGTGTTTCTGTTCTTTGGGGCGGCCTGGTGATCCAGAACGTTGGCTTTTAGTTATGTCAGGATCCTTTTTGTTTTGGGTGTCGTCACCTCATTGGCCAGTTTGTGCCGCTATGTATGACGTCACAGTCCTTGATATATGACGTAACAAATATGACGTCGTGGTTATTCGGAATTATGGATATGGCCACATGGTCCATTCTAATTTAGCCATTTATTGCATCCCATGTTTTAAAAACAAATATTTCTGATACTTTCCAATCTATTCGATAGGTTCTCAAAATTTTGTTCACATCACTGGAAAGATCGTTCGACATACCCACCCATCTTTTTTTCGGAAAACATGGTTAGAAACAAGTTTTGTTTATGATGCAAACCTTTTTAGTCGCATATGCCTAATACGGGAGGAAAGCCTGAAGTGCTGCGGGTGTTATACTTCTACCACTTTTGTAAAGCCCACAGGCAAGGGCATGATGCTGATAAACATAGAAACACGGTTCACCCGTGAAGATCTGGGTTAGAATTGATCTTCAGAATTCCATGCTTATCGTCAGAGGCAACCATGGATGTCGTAAGAGGCGACTAACCGGATCGGGTGGCAGGACATCAACGGCCGACACTTAATTGATAATTGATAAGTCGTCATTTCTATGCTGAAGACACGCAGCTCCATGAGCTCTTCAAACCCACACCATCAGATGCAAATGCTGCAGCGACATTAAGTTATGGATGTTTGAAAACAAGCTGAAGCTTAATGACAGTAAAATTGAGTGTCTATTCGTTGGTCCTGAGGGTCTAAGCGCGCAGGTGGCACTGAATCATTCCAGTTCAGTGACACTACCATTCCCCGTCACTAGATGTATCTTGGTGCTACTCTAGATCCGGAATTGTCTCCAACAAACATGTCAACGATGTGAGAACCTGTTTTCTCAGTCTAAGGAATATAGGGCACATCTGCAAATTTCTTACTCAGCAGTCATCAATCATACTTGTCTTGTCTTTAGTTATGACAAGGTTGGACTAATGTAATAGCTTGCTGGTTGGTGCAACACCATCCCAGCTGAACAGGTCACAACGAGTGCAGTTCTCACACAGCAGCCAGAATAGTTACTCACTCTCGCAAGACTGACCATATCACCCCGGTGTTATATAACCTGCTTCCAGTTGAACACAGGGTAACATTCAAGCTTCTCTGTTATGTCTTCAGATGTCTCATGGGACAAGCACTATCCTATCTTGCTGATCTCCTTCAAGCATATGTCCCAGGAAGATCGCTCCGCTCAGAGAAGAAGAATTTGCTTATAATTCCAATGTCCGGACATCATACTATGGCAAACGTTCCTTGGCATACTCAGCGGCCATTGCCTGGAACGTCTAGCACAACAACCCCGTGACTGTAGTGAACTGTCTAGCACAACACCCATGTGACAGCAGTGAACTGTCTACCACAACACCCCCGTGTCAGCAGTGAACTGTCTACCACAACACCTCCGTGACAGCAGTGAACTGTCTACCACAACACCCCAGTGACAACAGTGAACTGTCTAGCACAACAGCCCCGTGACAGCAGTGAACTGTCTAGCACAACACCCCCGTGACTGCAGTGAACTGTCTACCACAACACCCTCGTGACAGCAGTGAACTGTCTACCACAACACCCCCGTGACAGCAGTGAACTGTCTACCACAACAGCCCCGTGACAGCAGTGAACTGTCTACCACAACACCCCCGTGACAGCAGTGAACTGTCTACCACAACACCCTCGTGACAGCAGTGAACTGTCTAGCACAACACCCCCGTGACAGCAGTGAACTGTCTAGCACAACACCCCCGTGACAGCAGTGAACTGTCTGCCACAACACCCTCGTTACAGCAGTGAACTGTCTACCACAACACCCCCGTGACTGCAGTGAACTGTCTGACACAACACCCCCGTGACTGTAGTGAACTGTCTAGCACAACACCTCCGTGAAGGCAGTGAACTGTCTGACACAACACCCCCTGTGACTGCAGTGAACTGTCTACCACAACACCCCCGTGACAGCAGTGAACTGTCTACTATAACACCCTCGTGACAGCAGTGAACTGTCTACTATAACACCCTTGTGACAGCAGTGAACTGTCTACCACAACACCCTACCACTGCCTACTTTCCACTCACAACTCGAATCCTCTCTCTTTCGACTTTCTCATTCCAAATGACTTCTTATTGTCATACGCTTTCAGCATGCACTATGCATGGATACATGCGCCATACACATGAATTCTTATTGTCATAGGCTTTCAGCATGCAGTATGCATGGATGCATGCGCGATACTCATGAATTCTTATTGTCATACGCTTTCAGCATGCACTATGCATGGATACATGCGCCATACACATGAATTCTTATTGTCATAGGCTTTCAGCATGCAGTATGCATGGATTCATGCGCGATACTCATGAATTCTTATTGTCATACGCTTTCAGCATGCACTATGCATGGATACATGCGCCATACACATGAATTCTTTTTGTCATAGGCTTTCAGCATGCACTATGCATGGATACATGCGCCATACACATGAATTCTTATTGTCATAGGCTTTCAGCATGCAGTATGCATGGATACATGCGCGATACTCATGAATTCTTTTTGTCATAGGCTTTCAGCATGCACTATGCATGGATACATGCGCCATACACATGAATTCTTATTGTCATAGGCTTTCAGCATGCACTATGCATGGATACATGCGCCATACACATGAATTCTTATTGTCATAGGCTTTCAGCATGCACTATGCATGGATACATGCGCCATACACATGAATTCTTATTGTCATAGGCTTTCAGCATGCACTATGCATGGATACATGCGCCATACACATGAATTCTTTTTCTTATTCTTCTTATCATTATTTCAACGTCAGACATTTGAAGCAGGATATCAATGGGAGATATCTGGTCCAGGATACCAGTGGGAGTCACCTGAACAATTCTATCAATTAGAGACATTTGAACCAGGATATTATATTAATTGGAGTCATATGAACAATGATATCAATGGCAGACATCTTAACCAGGATATCAATGGGAGTCATATGAACAATGATATTAATGGGATACATCTTAACTAAGATATCAATGGGAGTCATATGAACAATGATATTAATGGGATACATCTCAACCAGGATATCAATGGGAGTCATATGAACAATGATATTAATGGGATACATCTTAACTAAGATATCAATGGGAGTCATATGAACAATAATATTAATGGGATACATCTGAACCAGGATATCAATTGGAGTCACATGAACAATGGTATCAGTGGGAGACATCTGAACCAGGATATCAACGAGAGGTTTCTGAGCCAGGATGTGAATGGAAGAGATTTGAGCCAGGATCCCAATGGCAAAATCATTCAACG